TGGCAACTGTGACCAAGGATGCACAGAGCTGGGTACCCCAAAGGGGGAGGAGACTTGGGGACCACACTGACACTGTCCCTGCTTCCCCACCTGCCACTCCTTAGCCCGGCACTGGCTGACGCATCAATTCAGCCCAGCAGCTCCTCTCCTGCCCATGCTCAGGAAGGGCAAAGAGCTGCAGGGGTGAGGGGACTAGGGCAGGCAGAGGTTAGGGGTGGGGCCTTGCACTGTCAAAATTCAGTATTTTTTCTGGAGTCACTGGAAATGCTGGAGGCAATCAGAGCAGGGGTCGGGTCAGCGTCTTGGGGAAGCGAGGTGCCCACTGAGGGTTTTGGAATTTGTGCCAAGCTTTGCTGCTGTCCCAAAGAGTCTTGCTTGACACTTATCTAAATTAAATCTCCCTGTTCATCCTGCCTGCTTGCCAAGGTCACAGGATCAGTCAGTACCATTGCTCCAGCCTTCCCTCCATCTGCAGTTCCCTCCGTGCTTGTTGCTCTATCTGCAAATACAATTCACATAGTTTGCCCAAAGCAGAGAACCATCAGTGCCTGGAAATACAAGGTCTGCAGCCCATGGGCAGGAACAGGCAAGTTAGGACCATCCAGGCCATGTCTTCGGGTCAAGATGGCAGTCCCCTGCTCAGACGTGATGGGAAGGATGTACATGAAATATTTCCTTGAGAACTTGCTATAAAATATCAGAAATACGTTAGACACATGAGGATAAGCACCTATTGATGACTGGGTGGTTTTGAAGAACAAGCTCTTTTCTTAGGTAGCTTTCAGGAGAGCGACACCTGAAACACGTCCCAGGCTGCAGAGAGGGCACCCAAGAGCTCCAGGATGCTGGGCTCAGGCAGCCTTTGTGCAGGAGCTGATCAACTCAACAGAGCACAGCAGAGCTCCCCAGGGCAGCACACGGCCACCAGCTGCTGCTGCAGCATGTCCTTGTCCCTCTCAGCTGCCCTCCAACTCCCTCCTGGCACAGCATCTGGCCCTGATGGCATCTGCACTCTGCCTCTGTCACAGCAGTCCCCATGGGCACAAAATACCCCATGGCTGCACAATGGCACAGGGGACTGAATCTTTATGGACCACCCTGAAAAGTCCTGTCACGGATGCAGACAGGGACCCAGGGCCAGATCCTGCATTCTTCATCGCCCAGCCCTGAGTGGTTTCCTTGCAGCAGAGTGGAGCAGAAGCTGCCCCCCCCCATGTCCAGGAGGGCTGTGAACCTGGATGGGGCTGACACAGCTGGATCCTGTCATGCTGGGATTGCCTCCAAGCCTAGGAGAGCCTTGGAACCCAATCCCCTCCAGCCACCCCCTCACGTGTCCCAAATCCAGCTCTCCAGCAGTTCGGGTACACAGGGACAGGTAAAGGCCCTCTCAGCCCAACAGTGTACCCCCACAGCTGGAAGGAGGGTCTGGGGGCACATTTCCTTAGCACATCCAGCAGCCCCACAGCCACAGAGATGGGCTGAGCTCCTCAGGCCTCTCTGCACCTCGTTAGGAAAATGAGCCCTGCTGCAACATCCCATCCCCAGGCTGGTCCCCAGATGGGCCAGGTTCACCCCAAGAAGCACCCAGATGAGCCAGAGTGACCCTCTGGGATCAGCAAGGGACCCAGTGCTGGGTTGAAATACAGCTCAGAGAGGTCACTGAGGGTGCTTTGGCCCCGCTCAGTATTTTGGGGACGGCTGGCTGAGTGGTTGCATCTGGCACAGCCCTGGAGAGAGGTGCCAAGTCATGTTGGAGTGAGAGAAGAGGTGACCTCTGTGCCTGGCTGCTCAGGGATCAGGAGGGCCAGCCCACGGCCACTGGCAGGGCCACTCCAGCCCTTGGCCAGCTGCCCTTGGCCAGTGGCACAGCACAGCACATCCCTTCACAGCCGCTGCACGCAGAGCCCACCCGTGCTGCACCAACATCGGGGTATTTTTAGCCTGGAAAAGTGCCACAAAATCATAGAGCAACATTAGTTGGAGTTGGGACCGATGTCTCCGTTCACCTTGCAATCCCCTCTGGGTCACCCTGCCCAGCTTGGCAAGGCAGTGGGTCCTGCTGGCACTGCTGCAGAAGCACTGAGCACCCATCAGGCTCCCTGTGCCACCTGTCCCCTCCTCCCATGCCATGGTGGCACCTTCCCCTAAGAGCTGCCCCAAATTCCCCCAGCAACCCATGAAATTCCAGAGCCACTGAAGGGTACATCCTGCCCTGTCCCTCTGGTGGCTACACCCAACCCAGTGCCCGTTTCCCCTGCTGAGATGTGGGGGGGGTTTGGGCTCTCTGCCCATGCTCTGCTGCCAGTGGGGCCTCAGTCCCCCCACCAAAGCACCAAGACAGTTATTCATCCCTTAGTCACGCATTTATTGCTATGAGGTGATTTCTGCTCCTGCTGGGAAAGGAAAGCACCCACAGTCTATTATACAGCCTCTCCAGGGAAAGATGGGGACCAGCATGACACTGGAAAACCAGAGGAATGTGACATTGCATGAGAGCACAGCACCCACACTGCGCTCACGCCACGGGGAGCCGCGGGCTGAGGGCAATGCACAGCCACCCATGAGAGTGTGTTCTGTCCAGCATTCATTTCACACCCCATTAAACACCTCAAAATGTTTGCTTTGGGGGACTCCATCACCATGTCCACCCCAGGGCTGAGGGGCTGTCCTGAATGCAGGCATGTGGGGTTTTCCTATTCGTTTTGCTGTTTCCCTTTAGAAACAGTTATGAGACTGTGTCTGCTTTCCCTTCCTTTCACTGGTCAGGGGATTAAAAAAGGAAAGGACAGATGACATAGCCCTAAACTGAAGGCACAGAGGCCTTGAATCTTTCACAAGGAGCGCTTTGGTCCCCAGGGCTCATTAAGCATTTAAGCAGTTGGTCCAGAGAAGAAGCACACAGCAGCACTTGCACGCTGGCTGACTGGCAGAGCCCTCTGCACTCAGCAGCTCTGTTTCACACCTTGGTTTCTGCAAAAGAAAATCCCAGTCCTGGGGCAAAAGAGACAGGAGGATGTCCAAAGGTGACTGGGTTGGCTGGGAGCCTTGGGAGAGGGGAAGGAAAGCAGGAGAAAATTAGGAGACAGGATGGAGGTGCCTGCTGTGTGGTGCTCTCCAATTACAATAAGTAGAATCTCCCAGAGCATCTGCCTCTGCGCCTGATGAATTGCAGAGTTGTTGTCCTGTCCTGTCCTGTCCTGTCCTATCCTATCCTGTGCCAGCCCTTCACTGGGTCTGGGGCTGAAAGTTGCAGAACAAGTGATGCCCCCAAAATGGGAGCTGCCTCTAAGCTGCTATCAAACTCTCCCCAGAGCCCCCTGCCCTCCAGGCCTGCTGGAGGGGAGCTGGAACAGGTCACTTAAAACCCACCACAAACCTGTGCCCACCTGAACCTTCTGTCCCTCCTGATGCATCAGCTTTTCCTGGCTCCCTGTGCTCACTCCAAAGGACAGGCCAAGGAGCAGCGTGGGCAGCAGTATCCTGGCCCCCAGCCCCTGGCATGATGCTGCTGCTGGGGGAGCCCAGGAAGGAGCAAAGTGTGCTCCTTTGCCCTCTGTCCTCCCTCTCACTCACCCCTCAACACAAGTGGCACAAAATAGATCTTATAGGTAGCTGTTCATCCCAAAATTGAGCTTAAGTACCTCAACCTTTTCTCTGGAAAAAACCTCAAACCTCAGAGGAGTTGAATCACTCAACCCCTTGTAACTGTCTTGTCTGCAAATGCACTACAGGGTTTAATTTATCAGGCAGGATTAAATATATAGATGTGGCAGTGCAGGTCTGAGCAGCAGAGAGGGGTTGGGACACAGGCAGTGTGGATTGGCACAGCCCTTCTCCAGGCTCTGGAGCAAGGCAGATTTGAGGCAGGTAAGTATCTGGCCCCAGGGAAACAGTTTGATGTGGGCAGTGGAGAGAATGGGGAAAAAAAGGTATCACGCTTGTCTCCCTGTCTCAGCAACCCCAGTCTCTGCTGCCTGTATCTGCCCCATTAGCAGAGCCTGGCACTGTGACAGGGACAGCACCGGGGCAGGGACACAGGGAAGTCCAGGTCTGTGGTCTGCACCAGGCTGGCAGCTGCTGCCCACACCCTGAGTCAGGGCATGGTCCTTGTCCCATGTCCCTTGCATGGTCTTGCTGCCTCTGGGAAGAACAGCCACAGGACAACCTGGTGGTAGATGCCTGTCTCCAGGAGCCCAGCACTGGCAGCTGCCTGCTGCAGGCATCTCTGCTGCTTAGAGAAGACTCACCTCACGCTCTGATTTGAGGAACATGGGAAGAAACCTATTCTTGTCACTCCCAAAAATCCCCTGGCCAGGATGAGGCGCAGTGCCTGGGATCCCCTGGGCACAGCTGGGCTCTGCTTTTGCAGCTCCTGCTCCATCCCCCCAACCCAGCCAGCAACAAATCAGCACTGCCTTCGCCCGCCTGATGGGATCCTCGCTGCCTTCATTTTCTTAGAGCTTTTTTTCAGCACTGCTTCACTCCTCTCAGTGCAAGCTGCCTGCAAAGCTGCAAGGTGGGCAGGAGGGCTATGGCTGCACCTTTTCCCACAGTCCTATGCATCAAGGAACCACATTGGCTTCACCAGCTTCTCCAAGGGTGTTGTTGTCTCTGCCCCAGGGTTCTGCTGACCGCAGTATGTGTGGTTTGTGGTTGGTTATCTTGAGAGCCCATGCTCATGCTCACCTGCCCCACTGGCTCCACAGCCACTCTGAGCACTCCCAGGCCCCTTGGCTGATGCAGGCACACTGTGCCAGTGCCTCAGTTTCCCCAGAGAGCAGAGAGAATGCACTGGCTCCCCTCCTCCCGACAGTGTCAGGTCCATTTAGCTCGGGCAGTCTGTGGGAGAGGAGCTGTCACACAGTGCGTGCTTGCTCTGCGCCCCGGGGCTCCAGATTGTTCCTTGCGCCTCCCAGCACCGTGGCCCCGTAAACATTAATATCAACAGTAATCAGAGGAGACTTCTCCCAGCTCCTGGTGCTGGGAGAGCCAGGGAGTGGAGATGAGGGCTCCTGCACGTTGCCTTGCAGCCAAATGCCTGCTGCCCACAAGGCACCCCAAGCTCAGCCTCGCACAGCCAGCCCTCACTCCTGTTGCCTCCCTACAGCAAATCCATCGGGGAGCTCTCAAAATCCTGTGCAGCCCCTCACTTGCCATGGGGAGAGCGGGCACAGGGGCACAATGCTCTCCTCCTCCTCTGAGATCCTCCTCTGTGGACCCCTGCAGCAGCGGTTGTACAGCAGCTCCGAGCCATTATCAAGCTGCAATTAATATAAATAAACAAGATGAGCCAGCCACAGTAGAGTGAACAGAAACCTGACTGACATATCCTCCGGGAATCATTTATTCTGGACTTTTATCTTTTTTAAATACTATTTATTTCCTTGCAAATTAATCACAGATTGCCTAGGACCACAGGCTTGGTTGGGTGACCCCAGGGGACAGGGCAAAGGCAGCCGAGCAGCCCGAGTCTCAGCCCTGCCTCTGCCGCCCGGGTTAACAAGCAGCTCCCCTCTCTCTGCCTTGGTTTTCCTCTCCCTGGCAGCCGCTGCAGCTCCCGCACCACGCTGACATGATTGTCCATCTTATGTTCTGCCTCTGCCGAGGGACACGACTGTACATGTGCTGAGCCCCTGGGAAAGGCAAGCGCGGAGTCCCAGCGGGAGGGCTGAGCCCCCCGGCCTCTGAGGCCCCTGCCTGCCCAAGGGCCGGCCCTGAGCTGCGGCTCCAAGGCCAGGTGGAAGGATTTAGAAGCCCGGCTTTTCTCAGCCGCTCCCTTCCATCCGACGGGCAGTACCTCTGGGACATCCCTCAGCCCCTGCACAGCCCTCGATCCCAGCACATCCCTCAGCGCGGCACGTCCGCCGATCCCAGCGCGCTTCTCGTCCTCGGAGCGTCCCTCGCACAGCCATTAGCCCTGCCACATCCCCAAACCCCACCGCATCCCTCGACCCCAGCACACTCGCACATCCCCCAGCCCCGACACCGGTGCGCCCCTTCCCAAATCCCAAAGGGATCCCTCCCGCCCCGCCCGAGGAGCCCCCACGGAGTTCCCGGAGAGCCTGGGCAGGGCGGCCGCGGCCCCGAGGGGACGAGGAGGAGGCGGGCACGGGGCCGGGAGCCCCCCACCGCCGCTCCCGCCTCCTCCCACCGCGGCGGGCGAGGCTCCGCCCGGCTCCCGGGGCCCGCAGCCGCCCGGCGCCCACCCCGCGGCGGGCGCCCGGACTATGAGGAGCGGGACCGGGCGGGGGGCGGCGGCAGCGGCGGCGGCGGCCCCGGTGCGGCGGGAGCGGGAGCAGGAGCGGGAGCGGGGACGGCTCCGCCGCCGGCCGGGTCATGCCCGTGCGCCCGGGGCGGCGGGGCTGCGGGCTGCGGCGGGATGGGCGCGCTCCGGGCCGGTGCCCTCGCCTTCCTCCTCCTCCTCCTCCTCGGCTGCCTCCTGCCCCGGCGCGGCCCGCTCAGGTGAGCGCACGGCGCGGGTGCTCGGGTGCTGGCGGGGCTGCGGGGACCGGGGCTCTCCGTGCCGCTCCCTCGGCACCCCCAACCCCCGGGAGCCACGATTCCCCTCCGGGACCTGGGTATCATCCCCTCCCAGTTAGATAGATCTCTCCTGCGGGACCTGGGCATCCCCTCCCTGACCCGGAGGAGCCTCGGGACCCGTACTCCGACCCCCGATCCAGACCTCCCTCCAGAGCATGATCCTCCCAGCCAGAACGCTCTCAGCCCCTATCTGGACCTCCCCACGGGCCACTGGAGCTTCCCCAAATCTGGTCTCACCCCCCTATTCCCCAGGACTCTGACCCAGCATCCTGGAGGACCCAACAGACCTTTCCCCTCAAGGCCCCCTACACACACAGCCAGGCTCTCTGCCTCTCCCCAGCAGCCCCTGCCCCAGTGCTGGGTCCCTGTATGTCCCCCTGGCCCCGGGCCAGCTGGGGAATCTTGTCCCAGTGGGAGAAAGGGTGAGCTGAGCCAGGTGATAGTCCAGGCAGCTCCTTCTCTGGTGCTGCAAAGCCCCTGCTATGTCCAGACCCTCTCCTGGCTCATGGTGTATGGGGGGAGGAGAGCTCAGGACAGTCCCTGACGCAGCCCCTGGTCACTTGGCCCAGTGGGTGGGTGCCCCACGTCCCATGGGTGCAGGAACAACCGTTGGCCCATTTGGGTGGAAAATCTAAAGACCCCATGTGCCTTTTTCCATCTCTGTCCACCTTGGGTGCTGTCTGGGATGGAGTGGGATGCAGGGGAGAGTGGGCCAGGCAGGGGGGTTTTGGGGGGCTGCAGTGCTCCTGGGCTGAGCCTGCTCCCTGCCCCCACTGTCCCTCCCACCACCCGGCCAGTGGCTGGAGCAGCACGGCAGGGGAGGGAACCGCAACATTTGTGGCAGGGAGGGGGGAAATGGTATTGCTTCACATGCAGAAACTGCTTGTCTCTGCGGGGGGGGGGGGGCATTTTTAGGCAGACCATTTTAGCGTTTTCCAGCCCTACCACCCACTCGCTCCCCAGAGGTGCTGAGCTCCCTGCAGCACCCAGATCCTGTGGCAGAGGCCCCAAGGGCAGGCAGTGTCAGTGGTTTACAGCAATGTGGTAGGGAGGGGCCTGACTTAAATTCTTTCTACCCTGGCCTCTTGGAGTCCTCCTCCCCAAGGCACCATACCTTGCTATTGCAGCTCCTGGATGGGGAATTTCTCCAACTGTTTTGCTCTTGGTCAGGACACGTCTCAGGTACTCTCTGCTGCTCTTCAATTAAGGAGATATCCAGCCCTGCTGGAAAAGATGCACATAAGCCCCTCTAGGATGAATCTCACTCCCTTGAGAAAGGGTAGGAATGAGCAGGTAGGAAGAAGAACCCCAGGGTTCTCAGCTCCCAACATCGTCCTCTTCTTGTGGTAATGGTGTTGTAGCTTCAACCAGAAGAGAGACTCACCTGGGCATGGACCTGGTGGAGTTACAAGGCAGCATGCAGCAGCACCAGCAACATGCTCAAAGCTAATTCTGTGTCCAGAGATCCCTGGCTAATTCCTCTCCATCACAGCCACATGCCTGGCAATGTGGTGAGCGAACATCTCTCGCATTGTTCCTTGAAATTATCATTACAGACTGACGGAAGGAGAGAAGCTGGCAGGCTAAGATGCATTCACAAAAATATCCCCTCTAAAGTCAGCTTAAATAAATCTCCATCATCGTTGGGAGCGCTGCGTGGGAGAGCTCATGTCAGCACGGCTGGTGAGGAGGTGGGCTTTGCTGCTCCTCTCCTGCCGCGTTGCCTTGGCCCCTGACGAGGTGTCACAACCTCAGCTGTGCTCCAGACACCTCCTCGCCCACACCAGGCCAGCCCTCAGCTCAGGCAGGGCTGTTGTGTCCCCCGAGTCCCCAGGCCATGACTCTGTGCAAGGCGGGGTACGATTGTTTGCTCAGCAGCTCCAGCTGGAGATGGTGACGGAGCCTGGGAAGGGGCCTCCCTGCTTTCCCTCTCCAGCACCAGCACAGAGCACAAGGAATGGCCTGCTGTGCCCTGTCCCCACTGCAGCCCTGGAGCAGGGAGGCACGCGGGTCCCAACACCATGCCAAGGGATATATGACACTCAGACTGTGGCAGGTGAGGGGAAAAGCCACCAGGATCAGAGCAGAAGGAAGGGACCCCAGGTTCAGCATGTGGACTTGGCAATGGAGCGGATGCAGTGCAGGCATCCCACGGGGTGCCAAGGTGTGCCTGCAGACCCCCAGTGCTGGCAGGCAGATAACCCACCTCCTCTGCCCCACAGGCTGGTCTCAGGGCGGGAGGAGATTAAAGCTGCTTCCCGAAGCTCACCCCAGCCCATGTCACCCTCTGATTTCCTGGACAAGCTTATGGGACGAACATCAGGGTATGATGCCCGAATTCGACCCAACTTCAAAGGTAAGAGAGGATGTGAGGGTCCCAAACCTGGCAGCAATCCATGCCCATGGCTGCCCAAACCCAGGGAATGGGCTCTGGGGGCAGGACCCTGACCCACATTCCTCTGTCTCAGCACCCTTCCCTGAGTCCCGGCTGCTCCTGCCGTCACGGCCTCTCTGTGTGTGCCCGCTTTGTCTGACAGCACGGGCGGCTCAGTGCTTGCAGGGCTCACTGGAGTTCACCCCGACACCCCCCGGGGGTGGCCCCAGCAGGCAGGGGGACGCTCGTGTGCCCTGATCCACACAGCACATGCAGGAGCTGTGTCCCCGCGTGTGCCTGCGCAGTGCCTGTGTCTCCGCAGCCAGCGGCAAGAGGAGGCTTCACGCTGTTTTCCAGGTCCACCCGTCAACGTGACGTGCAACATCTTCATCAATAGCTTTGGCTCCGTCACCGAGACCACCATGGTGAGGGTTTTGCCAGGGTTTGCACGGGCTCCTCCCCCAGTGCCTCGGGGCTGGCTGTGGCTGTGCCCAGGAGCGTGTGGGTCCCAGCGCCCAAGCCCATGGCCGTGCTTACAGTGATCCTTTGACAGGGGCCCTTCCCTAGCACCAAGGTGGGGACATGCAAAGCCATAGCACATGGCTGTGAATTTTTTTGGGGTCAGTTAACCCAAGCTTGGCTGTGTGGGTCACACTCCCTGTTCCTGAGCTGGGAGAAAGACCCCCAGGAGGTCACAGTGAGGCAGCTGTAGGCAGCTTTCTGCCATCCCCAGCCTCCTTGGGTACACGAGGAACTCCTCTATGGAAGCCCTAGGGCTAAAAATTCAGCTTTTGTGCTTCTGCAAAGCCTTAATACCATCAACCATCACATCAACAGGGCCACAGAGTCATATGCAGAGTGCTGCAAGCTGCAGTTACTGGTCTTCCTCCTTTTCCTCCTCCTTCTCCTCTCAGCTGCTGTGGCTTTGGCTTTTTTAATTTCTCCTGGCTGCCAACAGCATGGAAAGGCTCCAGAGCTGCCCCTGCCCCATGCACAATTAGTAGCAGGCAGGAGGCAGCTGCAGGGCTGAGCCTCAGTGGGGGGAGCCCCTTCCACCTCCTTCTCCATCCCTTCTTCCTCCCCCTTCCTGGGCAGCAGGGGGTGCTCCCAGCTGACGGGGTGCCCTCTGCCCCAGGACTACCGGGTGAACGTGTTCCTGCGGCAGCAGTGGAACGACCCCCGCCTGGCCTACCGCGAGTACCCCGACGACTCCCTCGACCTCGACCCCTCCATGCTCGACTCCATCTGGAAGCCAGACCTGTTCTTTGCCAACGAGAAAGGGGCCAATTTCCACGAGGTCACCACCGACAACAAGCTGCTGCGCATCTTCAAGAATGGCAATGTGCTCTACAGCATCAGGTAGAACCTTCTCCTCTGGTGCGGTGCCTGAGTGGGGAGGCAAGGCCTTTCATGGAGCAGCTTTTCCCTACTCACTGCCCCAACCCCCTCCTTTCCTCTGCCTCCTCCAGGCTGACACTGATTCTGTCCTGCCCCATGGACCTCAAGAACTTCCCCATGGACATCCAGACATGCACCATGCAGCTGGAGAGCTGTGAGTACCTAGGGGGGTTCAAGCTGTGCTTCTTCCCCCCATCTCATCCCATCCCAAAAGCTGGCATCTGCCTTTTCCTGAGGGAGGTGAGCAGGAAAGAACAGTTGTTCAGGGTGGGGTTGAATAGGGTGCATGTCCCTCCCCATCCCATGGCTCCCTACATCCCCTCCAGTTGGCTACACCATGAACGACCTCATCTTTGAGTGGCTGGAGGAACAGGAGGCTGTGCAGGTGGCAGAGGGCTTGACACTCCCACAGTTCATCCTCAGGGATGAGAAGGACCTGGGCTATTGCACCAAGTACTACAACACAGGTGAGCACCCCAGGATCCTGCCACCCCCTCCTCCTGGCCCAGGAGTCCCTCTCACCCATCAGGGCTGTCTTTCCCCACAGGCAAGTTCACCTGCATTGAGGTGAAGTTCCACCTGGAGAGGCAGATGGGTTACTACCTGATCCAGATGTACATCCCCAGCCTGCTCATTGTCATCCTCTCCTGGGTCTCCTTCTGGATCAACATGGATGCGGCGCCAGCCCGAGTGGGCTTGGGCATCACCACGGTGCTCACCATGACCACACAGAGCGCCGGCTCCCGGGCCTCCCTGCCCAAGGTCAGTGCTGCCTCCGTGCTGGGCTCCCCTGCTGCAGCCTGCCCAGGCACCCGGGGTGCCACTGCCACCCCCAGTGCTCCAGGAGCAGGGAGAGCCTTTCAGAGGCTTGGCTGGGACACCACATGTGCTGAGGAGGAACACGGTGCTGCTTGGCTGAGCGAGCTCCGGCCCATGTGTCCAAGCTGAGAGGGCTCCTGTGGCTGTTGGCAGCAGGATGAAACTGGGGGGGGGAGGGATGACTAGCTAGGCAGGGGCCAGTGGGTGCCTGAGCCCCCTCTCCCCCTGGCAGGTGTCCTACGTGAAGGCCATTGACATCTGGATGGCCGTGTGCCTGCTCTTCGTCTTTGCTGCCCTGTTGGAATATGCAGCCGTCAACTTTGTCTCCCGCCAGCACAAGGAGTTCATGCGCCTGCGCCGCCGCCAGCGCCGCCAGAGGATGGTGAGTCCCCCCACCACCACTCTCACTGACATCTGTCCATCCTCAGCCCCTGAGGGGACACCCCAGGGCTGCAGGGCCACTTTCCAGCAGCCCCCGGCGCAGGGCTCAGCGCTGGGCTGTGTTCATTGCCCATGGCTTGTGGCCGGCTCCTCTGGCACACCAGGGACCCCCTGCCTGCCTGAGCAGCACCCTTGGATGCCCCAGGCCTTGCTTAGGGTGCTGCCCTTCTCCTGCAGGGACGCCCTCAGGCTCTGCTTCCTCTCAAAAAGTAGAAAAACGAACAGTGAGGATGGGGGGAAAACAGCCTTTCCCCTTACCTGCAGCCCCAAACCTGGGCTCCTTGCTGTGCCTCAGTGGTGACGGGGGCTCACTGCTGTGTCAGGGTGCTGAGGCACCAAGGGGACCTGGTGGCACCAAGGGACAGGCCTGGGCTGCAGATGTGGAGAGGCAGGGTCCCTCACTCATGGAAATGGTCCTCCCCTCCGTCAGCCCACCAACACAGGCATCAGGCCTGCTTGGGGTGGGCATGTGGCTGCCCCACTCTCATTTCCTTGCCATAAACACACCGCGAGGCACCAGATCTCCACAGAAAACATGAGTACATGTACACACCACACAGGCTGACAGTGCCCTATGCAACCAAATCCTGTGCTGAAGACAGATCCCGGTGCCAGGGCACTGCTGGAGGGGGGGGTTTTCCCCCACACAGACCCCCGTGTCCCCACCGTCCCCCAGAGCCGCTGCCGCGGGGCCGGGGTAGGGCCATGGGTCACCCGCTGTCCTGTTTCTGTTTGGTGCACACTGCTGGATGCCAAAAGGGCCTGAGCAGCGGGACGGCCAGCCTGGAGTCCCTGCGGCAGCTGAGCAGCCGGCACAGCAGCGAGCACACCTACGCGACGCTCTCGCAGCTCTCCAGCTCCCGGGTAAAGCACGACCCCCCTGGCAGCCCCTCCGTGCAGCGCAGCTCACCTTCCCCTCCCCAAAACAAGCCCCCCAGGAGCTGGCCCCGGGGGGGGCCACAAGGGCCCGTGGAAGAAGCAGACCAGTGATTTGCACAGAGTATGTGCCCGTAGGATGGAGCTGCCGCTCCCTGGGCTCAAAAGAGTTTTGAGAGAGGGATGGGAATGGAGCAGATCTCCCTTGTAGACACCCCCACTCTGTGCCTCAGTTTCTCCTTCTGTAAAACAGTCCCCTTTGCTGAGGACTGAGTGATGCTGAGGCAGACTGATGGCTGCTCCTGGGCTGCTGCCCAGCTCCCCAGGCCATGCCCACTCCTCTGACAGGGTGAGGGCTCTCTCTGCCTGCCTGGCTGCCTCGGTGCAGGCAGGTTTGAGGCAGTCGGGGCTGCCCGCAGTCACTCCAGCAGCTGCTCAGGGCACACGGGCACTTTGCAGCTTGAGGCGTAGGGAGGAGCGTGGGGCAGGACAGGCTCCCAGGATGGTGGGGAGGTGCAGAAGCTCCAGGGAGATCAGGCCTGGTTGTCCTTGCCTCCCCTCCACCTTCATCAACCTCTGGACGCCAGGAGAGGCTTCCTGGCTGTCCCCAGCACGGTCCTGTGCTCCCTGCCTTTCACAGCCCCTGAGCACCGACCCCTGGAGATCAACACCCACCCAGCCAGGGAAGGGAGCGGGGGCGTTCTGTAGAACCCAGGGGCATCTGATGGCTTAGGACAGACCTCCCCGAGGTGGAGGCTGCAGAGCCACTCCGGGGTGCTGCTGACATGGCACTGGGTGCAGCCAGGAGCACCTCGGGGTGCTCCTCCAACAGAGACCGGAGCAGAGCCCCACTGCACACAGCTCCTGTGCCTGACAAAGCAAATCTCTCCCACAGACCACCCAAATCC